GCCATTTCTGGGCTCCAAAATGGCCGCCGCAATACCCGATCTTCGCAATGCGGGTTTTCCCCATTGCGAAGATTGGGTATGTTTCCGTATAGCGATCCCGAAAAAGGGAACGCTATACGGAAACATCGCTATACGGTGCACTCGCTAAGCGAGGCACCACTGTAAGTCCACCTCCCCTTCAGAGATTAAGAGTTCCAGTAAGTCTAAACCTCACCAGGTAGTGATCTGTCCATGATAATGGAACTACAGAGAGTTCCTCCACACCCAGATCACCATTATCCTGCCCCGCATGAAAAACAAGGTCCAGAGTGTGCCCTGCTATATGTGTGGGGCCAGAAACCAATTGGGACAGATCCATGGTTGTCATGGAGGACATAAAGTCCTGAGCCACTCTTTATAAGTTGAAGTCCCCCAGTCCTATCAGTTTAGAGAACTCCAACATCACCTCCGATACCAACTCAGTCTGCTCAGGAAGGGGGACTGTTGAGCAGCGGGGTGGACGGTACACCAACAGAATCCCTATTCTGTCCTGGGTGCCCACCTTTAAGTATACACACTTGAACCCAGAAAACTGTGGGACAAAGCACCTGCTGAGGGGGATGGAAGCATGATAGACTACTGAAACACCACCTCATATAAGGATCTACATGGACTTTTAGACTCTACAACAAGCAACATTGAGAAGGTAGAATGTAAAGCAACATCCTTACTCTCCAAAAACTGGATTGAGCTGCTTTGGGATATATCGCTCCTTGGTGTCTTTCTGTTGTTGCCCAATTTTGACAACCAGGTAGGGATCTGCCTTCCCATTGGGATCTGCTGGAGTCAAGTTAGTTGCCTGGAACACATAACATGTGAGACTTATAATGCTGGCAAGACAAAAAACCATATAGAAGCCACTGAGTGGAAGCATTACATCAGTTTGTCTGGAAACATAATTAGGCTGAATCTATCATGAACAGTTATAAACTGATATCATCGTAAAAGAGTTACTGACATATATACGTAGTCTAGGTCTTAACATGACTGAAATACAAACAATAAAAAATCACAGAAACCCCAGTTGTTGGATGTAAGAGCTGGGAATTCACAAGTCTTGTCCTTTTGTAATATTTCCCCCTTATACTCATGAAAGCCAAGTAAGAATCAAGTGAAAGACGCACATAAGCTGTATCACGCCAGTGACAAAGGACATGCTTTTAGAGATTAGCTTGAGATGGCAATAAAGTAGCTGTCTGTGTTGGCAGGATGACCAAATTATTTGGTAATATAAGCACAAGTTTAAAGATGCATGAAAGTTACTACAAATACTCACTTTAACTATATAGATTCGGACCAGGACTTTAATAGGTCTGTTTCTGGGAATGCCTTGGGAGATTTTATGTTCTGCACCTGCTTCTTCAGCACGATATACAAAAAATGAACCCTGCAAAAGAAGGATTAAATAAGAATGTATCTGCATACCATCCTTTCTAGTAAAATCTATTCTGAATAGCCCTACATCTACAAAAAACAATTTTCATTTTCTCTTATACTGTATTAGCAAGAAATGTCTGTTTCATCTTCAGCTAGCAGTCATATTCTCAAACACAGTTTTAGATAATTCCTCTAAATCATTAGTCCAGTACCTTTCCCCCTCAATATCCTTAATTCATATACAGGTTTCACCACCATAAGCTGAACTTCACATCCAAAATTGCCTGGTTTTGTTTTGTTTTGTCAAAAATTGGTCTTTAAAGTGACAAGGAATAACTTTCAGAGCAGGGGACCTTTACTACCTGTGGATATTAATTCCTGAAATTTCTTATCTTTAAAAAACATTCTTTTAATGTATTTTATTTTTATGCTTTTCTGATTTGTTCATATATATATGTTAGATATTCAACTCTTTAAAAACACCTCTCTCTGGGTTATGAACATGGGATATTGTGATTCTCTGCCCACAATTTAAAAAAAAACAGGAAATGGCCCAATATTGTACAATATCCTGCCTGCCCAGTCCTCTGAAGATGCCGGCCACAGAGCCTGGTGAAACGTCAGGAAGAACAACCTTCAGAACATGACCAAAGAGCCTGAAAAACCCACAACAACCATCAGATCCCGGCCGTGAAAGCCTTCGAGAATACATAGCCCTGACAATTGCTTTGTATTTGGGTGAGAAGTGGTTAAGTGATGAAAACAGGAATCAACGTTCAGGTTTTTCATGTATATGTGAAATAGTATGGAGAATCATGGATCCCTGAGACACTCCGCAGGCTAATAGTGTTTTCAAAATGTTGAAAAGGAATCCCCCTCCCCAGCACCACTACCATTCACAAATTGACACCATGGAAGGGAAAATCCCTTATGTCTCCCTAACTTTCACCCTAAATATTATTTGCTTTTAAAATGTCTTTTTACATGCTTGTGAATAAAACTGATAAACCTACTCCCAAGTAAACAGGGTAAAAATACTCCTGAGTAAACCAGGTAAAACCTTCTTTAATATTCCCTTTCACAAAACAAAAAATGCAGTATTTTCGCAGCTTGAATGAGTAAGTTTCTGAATACCGTTCTTTTTTTAACTTCAAATACTTTTTGAGTAAACCAGGTAAAATTACTCATGAGTAAACAAAGTAACAATCATGACTAGAAACACCTTCGCACAAATGTCCCCACATTTTGTACAGAGCAAGACCAGACATTCTGCTACATCCACGCCAAATTTGACACTGATCCGAGGTCAAGATTCATAGTTATAATTTTTTGTTTCAAACATCCCTATTTTTTTAGTTGGCTTATGACCTAAGAGCGCAAAATACTGCTGCAATAATAAAATGTAATATTTTTGAGTGGTTAATTGCTCTTTATGCATACAGCCTGATTGGTTTTGAAGCAATAAAATTAAGTATTTTATTGTACTGAAAACAAGTTGCTATTAATTACCTTGTATTTTCCCACAAAATTATCTTCATCATTTCCATCCTCATCTTCACTAGCTTTCCCACGATGAAGTGGAAAAATACATAGCCAGTCTTCAAAATTGTCAAACTCGTTTTCCAGTTCTGAACTGTAGATCTGACAGGAGAGGCATGTTAATTTTTGAGCTTACTTCCCATCACAGATATTAATAAAAACCAATGCAGAAAGAAAAAGTCACTTCAAGCAAGTGATTATTTTCCCCAAAATTCTTTTTAACATTTGCTTGTCTTTTCTTTTTCTTTTTCTTTTTTTGGTAGAATTCCACCAAAACCCTATGGTTAAGATCGGGCAAGAAGAGATTCAAGTAATAATTCAACCTCAACGAACAGTGAGATGCACAACCATCATGCAAGTCAATATAAAAACAGTTACTTTTCTCACCTACAACTCTCAGAATTTCCAGCCAGCATCCACTATCCATGCTGGATGAGGGACTATGGGAATGATAGTCCAATAATAACTTATCCTACAGCTATATATAATTTAGAATTTAAATAAAAAATAATGTGACATTTAATACCAAACACTAATGCATGTTCATTACACTGAAATATATTTCAGTTTCATTGTACCAACAGTAAATTACATGCATTAAGGATATTATATCAAATCAACACCTAGTCAAAGCTATGATTTTTCCAGTAGTTCTGTATGGGATTGAGAGCTGGACCATAAAGAAGACTGACCACTGAAGAATTGATGCTTCTGAATTGCGGTCCTGGAGGAGACTCTTGTGAGTCCCCTGGACTGCAAGGAGATCAAACCTATCTATTTTGAAGGGAATCAACCCTGAGTGCTCCCTGGAAGGACAGATCCTGAAGCTGAGGCTCCAGTACTTTGGCCATCTCATGAGAAGAGAAGACTCCTTGGAAAAGACCTTGATGTTGGGAAAGTGTGAAGAGGAGAAGGGTTGGACAGAGGATGTGATGGTTGGACAGTGTCACCAAAGCTACCAACATGAATTTGACCCAACTCCAGGAGGCAGTGGAAGACAGGAGGGCCTGGCGTCAGGGCCGGACTGGTCATCTGGCGTTTCTGGCAAATGCCAGAAGGGCCGATGGTGAGAACGGCCGGTTCCTGCCTTGCGAGGCCGCCGCCGCCGCCCCGCCGCCGCTAGAGGAGACAGCAGGAGAGGAAAGTCTGAGTAGGAGCACACTTTTCTGTACTAGTTGATGAGATCACACTGCCTGAACCAATGCAAATGGATCTCTTTTTTTAAAGTAGAAGCCACAGTGGTGGAGGAACAAACCACAGATTTGGGGGAGGAAACTCTTGGCTGATTCTCATTTGCTTTTATGTCATGTGGTCAATGGAAGAATGCAATTCAAACTGTCCCAATCCCATAGCATTTCTCATGGTGCATGTCAGTGTAGTCACAGCCTAAGGGGAAGATGCAGGGGACACATGGCTGCCACCTCACCTCTCAAGAACAAAGACAAGATGTCTTCTCCATCTGTTCCCAGAGATGAACAAGACGTGAGAAGTGAGAAGGAAAGGAAGTGACATCAGCAAACCTAAAAGTATCAGTCTAGGTTGAAGGAAGTTCAGCCTAGGTCAGAGCAGGAAACCTGAGGAGAAAAACCTTATTTTCCTCCCTGCCTCCACCATGCAATGACATGCATCTTCTTCAGTATAAGCTGAATTGCACCAGTCACCTCCGCCCAGTAGGTGATGACATTCACAGGAAGCAAGCCTTGGACTTAATCCAATTTTGCTGGCAGAAAGAAAGGAATAACTGATAACACTGGGTTCGCTAGGCCTCAGTTAGAGCTGGTTAATGTTAAAAATGTAGAGATGTTTCAGTGGAACTTAAAATGAGAAAACAGGTGCTTTTCCAAATTACTCACTTCACCTCAGCTATATATTTCATCCTTGTGACATCTTCTGGCGTGAATTTGACACTAGAAAAGTAGCAGTTACTTTAAACACCATATGCCAGCCTGGAATTCTTCAATTTTATCTTCTTTCTTTCTTTCTTTCTTTCTTTCTTTCTTTCTTTCTTTCTTTCTTTCTTTCTTTCTTTCTTTCTTTCTTTCTTTCTTTCTTTCTTTCTTTCTTTCTTTCTTTCTTTCTT